AATTATAAAATATAAACTATAGAGATATATTGAAGGAATTGTCTTTGTGAATATTCATAACAGAAATTTCATCCTGGACTCAGCAGCAATTAAGGCTGTGTATCTCCTAAACAAATGATCTGATTTTGTATTTTGAACATTCTGGAAATTGGACACGAAATGCTCTCTCATTATTTTTACGTTGCTAGCACATTATCTATCACACAGTATGCATGTCTGAGTGTTAATCTTATTCATACCTTCATTAATTTTATGCCCTTATTTTCTCTGTTTCCTTCAAGTATTTTTTTTTTTTTCCTTTCGTACTTTGGATATTTTTTGAACTCTGTTAAATCCTTTAAGAAACAAGTGGAACAAGGTAAGGTTAAAAAAAAAAAAAAAAAAAGATAGAAACAAAGATAAAAAGAGGAAAGACCAAGAAAAGTATAGAGACAGAAAGGGGCAGAAGGAAGTGCGCAGAGAGAGGCAGCAGTGTGTGTCGTGTGGTCATAAGTCATTACGTGGACCTGGATCTTAGGAAAGCTGCATGGGAAGGATATGTACATATTTAGGCAATGGTATACTTTTTCTGAAATCCCATTGTACTGAATCACTGAAAATTATAATAACTCCCATGTGGAAATATTTTACAATGTTAATTGTAACAATATTTGATCTCATAAAATTTGACCTGTCACGTCATTTTCAATATAGGACTGTTATAATAATTTTCAGAAATTTTGCTAGTGTATTTTTCTTAAATTTATTTATCTTAAATACTTCAATTTTTCACAATTCATGTTATAAACTCTAATTACATTGAAGCACTACTCTACTTTCTGAAAATAATAACCTATTCAGTTCCACAGAGAATGTGATCTGGTGTCTAAGACAAGGAGCTACACTCGCTTTTCTCTTGTCTGTCTGGACTGGTCTCCATTTGCCAAACAAGACAATTGAACTAAAATTACCAGACAGCGCACCTGAAGCATGGTTGATTATCATGCAGGTTTAAAAGGAGATGAATATGTGGAACCCACGGGAAACATCACCCAAGAGCCGAGGACAACTATATATGACTTATGAACCATTTGAGTGTCCACTATGGACAAAATATCGGGTTCTTTCCATACACAGAATTTTTCTGTCAATCAGATTGCTAGACTACAATTAACACTATGTACCTTTCACAGAAAAGAAAAATGCCAAACACAGGTGGGGTACAAATGACTTTGTTCCTTTCTTGGCTATGAACACTCTGATAGAGCTGGAGGGAGCATCAGCTTCTGCATCAGCCCCAGAAAACTGCACTTTCTCCAAACCTCTTCTCCCGTCATCACCAAAGGTGTCTCCTAAGTAGGATTCCTGTGGTGCTGAAGCCAAAACCACCAGGAAATTGTAACGGCTGCTCTTCAAATTTCAGTTTACACAGTTCATTTGGTTCCTTGTGTAAAAGGTCCTGTCCTGTTCCATTATTTAGTCATCTAACCCCACTATGGCTGTGCCAAAGCATTGCCATATATTCAGATGGAGTAAATAAATCATTTATATACCTGGACATTTGGTGAATTTAGATAATGGTAAGGTAATTACTGACAACATCAGGGCTCTAAGAGTTACTTTATATACAGTGTGTGTATATATATATACACATATATATATGATGCATTAGGATATAAATATCCTCATTTGAACAAACAATAACCTTTTGCCTTTTTTTATTGATCTCATTTGCAGATTCATCATACAGAACCATCAACTGAAGTCAAACAGATACGTACAAATTCCCAAGGAAATGCTGGCAATGACATTTATAGTTTAAATAAAGAGAATACCTCCAACCCATGAACATCGCAGTTCCATTTATTTGTCCTCTTCAATTTCTGGCACCAATGTTTTATACTTTTCACTGTAGAGGTCTTTCATTTCCTTGGTTAAATTTGCTCCTAGTTATTTCATTTTATTGGTAGCTACTGTGACTGGGATTACTTTCTTGATTTCTTCTTCGGCTATTTTGTTATTGGCATATAGGAATGCTACTGATTTTTGTGTATTGATTTTGTATCTTGCCACTATACTGAATTCATTTATTAGTTAGAGTAATTTTTCGGTGGAGTGTTTAGGGTTTTCTGTGCATAGAATCATGTCTGCAAATAGAGATAGTCTGATTTCCTCCTTTCTTGATTTGAATGTCCTTTATTGCTTTCTTATGCCTTATTGCACTGGCTAAAAACCTAGTACTATGTTGAATAAGAGTAGGGAAAGTGGGCATCCTTGTCTTGTTCCAGATCTCAGAGGAATAGCCTCCAATTTTTATCCATTCACTACATCAGCTGTGGGTTTGTTGTATATGGCCTTTATTGTGTTGAGGTACATTCATTCTAAACTTGTTGAGTGATTTTATCATGAAGTGGTGTGGGATTTCATTAAATGTTTTTCTGTATCTATCAAAATGATCATATGGGGTTTTTTTCCCTTCATTCTGTCAATGTGATGTATCAAGTTTATAGATTTGCATATATTGAAGCATTCCTGGGATGAATCCCACTTGATCATGGTGTATGATCTTTTTAAGGTATTCCTGGATTCCGTTTGCTGGTATTTTGTTGAGGATTTTCATGTCTGTGTTCATTAGGGGTCAACAATTTTATTTTTTTGTTGTTGCACCCTTTTCCAAATTTGGTAAAAAGGTAATGCTGGCCTTTCAGAATGAGTTTGGAAGTATTCTTTCCTCTTCAATTTTTTGGAAGAGTTTGGGAAGACTTGGTACTAGTTCTTCTTTAACTGTTTGGTAGAATTCAGCATAACTGTTTGGTAGAATTCAGCAGTGAAGCCATTTGGTCCTGGGGTTTTCTTTGTTGGGAGACTTTTTATTACTGCTTCAATCTCATTACTTGTTATTGGTCTATTTGGGTTTTCTAGTTCTTCATGATCCAACTTTTGTAAATTGTATGTGTCCAGGAATTCATCCATTTCGTCTCGGTTTTCCAGTTTGTTTGTATATAGTTATTTGTAGTAGTCTCTTATGATCCCTTGTATTTCTATAGTATCAGTTGTAATGTCTCCTTTTTCATTTCTGATTTTATTTGAGTCTTCTCTCTTTTTTTCTTCATTAGTCTAGCTAAAGGTTTGATTTTATTTAACTTTTCGAAAAACCAACTCTTTGTTTCATCCATCTTTTGTGTTTTTTTTTATCTCTAATTCGTTTATTTCTGCTCTGATCTTTCTCTCCTACGGATTTGGGGTTTGGTTTGTTCTGTTTTTCCAGCTTCCAGAGGTGTAACATTATCTTGTTTATTTGGAGGCTTTCTTCTTTTTTGATGTAGGCATTTATTGCTATAAAAGTCCCTCTTAGAGCTGCTTTTGCCATACCCCATAGGTTCTGGTATGTTATATGTGCATTTTCATTTGTCTACAGGAATTTTTTCATTTCCTTCTTGACTTCCTCTTTGACACATTTGTTGTTTAGGTTCATATTGTTTAATTTTCATGTATTCAAACAGTTTCTGGTGTTCCTTTTGTTGTTGATTTCTAGTTTGATTTCACTGTGGTCAGACAAGGTAGTTGGTATGATTTCAATTATTTTAAATATCTTGACACTTGTTTTTGTGTCCTCATATATGGTGTATTCTAGAGAATGTTCAATGTGCTGGTGAGAAGAATGTGTATTCTGCAACTGTTAGGTGAAATGTTCTATAAATGCCTGTTAGGTCAAGTTGGCCTACAGCAGAGATTAATTCTGATGTTTCCTGGTTAGTTTCTTGTCTGGATGATCTGTCCTTTGCTGAAAGTGGGATTAAATTAAGAGATATGCACCAAAATGACTCCACCAACCAACTAAGGATTAGAGCTAAAAGCAAAAGAGTGCCAAGTACCTGTAGTTACTGTATCATATACTTAAAAATCCATGAACATGGTAGATCTGATGTTAAACGTTTTTACCACAATAACATAATCTCTTCAAAAAAAATAGTGGCAATGTAAAGAAGACTGCAATTATGACCAATTACAAACACCATGAAAAATACAGAATCTTCTTATTCCTCTCAGAGTTGTCTTTGATTTCTGTGCCTTATTCTAGAATCTTTAGTTGTATCCAAGTCTATTTCACAAGTCACCAATCTACATATTCCAGAAGCTGTTATGATCTTACGTGCAGAAACATCATTACAATTTCTAAACAGGATGTATATTCCTCCTGCTAACACCTTTCTTTTTCAAAAACAAATGTCCTTATTTACTCTAGTTATTATTATAAAAATAAACAACTACAACTGCAAATGCATGAGGTAGAAAGTGAAAGCCCATTGCAAAAACTACAGTGATTTTTTTTTAATTGGAGTGTACTACTTTAACACGCACGCACACACACACACACACACACTTTCCCCTCAATACAAATTTGTTAAACACTTCCTTTCTTAATATTTTACTTTATTTCCATGAAGGTATGTATGTAACTCAGTGAGTTCAGTAGCTTCAATATATACTGCATACATCAGAGGTCAGTTTTACATTGACTAGTTACAATTATTATTTTCATATGTATGAAGTAACCAAATCAATAAAGAATATTTAAGTCTGAAATTCAAAATTGACTATAGAATTACTACTTTTCTGCCTACTGAGATTAATTTCAGCAAAAGTCATTCACTTTCACCTTCATCTTTACCAGTGTCCAAAAGGAGTATGTAAGAATACAGTACGTACAAAAAACAGTTCCAGTTGTCTAGGAGCTCCTACAACCTATTTCACCATATACCTATCGCAAAAACATTTTCAATTCTTTACAGTCCTCCCTCAAAATTCTCCGCATTCCCCAAGTCAGAGTTACACATTTCTAATAAAACACAATCCTATCCTCATAACCTTTATATCCAATATACTTAACACCCTGGCTCTTCGTTTTTGATACTTAACAGAATATCATCCTTTGCAGAAATCCTCCATGGGAGAATGCTCTGGGATATAGTGTCCTTAGTAGAAAATGTCAAAAGAAATAATAACATGGTCTTACTTACGAGAGGTTTTGGAAGCAAGAAGAGTAACTTGGGAACCTCCTAAGAAACGAAAACCCATTACATTCACCTGATCATCATCTGACTGACTGGCAAAGCCTACAAAGAAAAAAAAAAAAATCACCCATGTAACCACAAAGCAAAATTAACACAAAACATTTGAAACAGGAAGTCTAGTTGGATGACAAATTTCTTTGTCTCTAGTCATGTATTAAGTCCATGAATCAATTATAACATATTAACTTTGATTTCCATAGTAGCTTCCAATTGCTGAAATTTCTGCCTCACAATAACACTCGGGAATCACTTAGTTTCCTTTCTTCTAATTAAAGGTTCCATATATGAGACAGAACATGTACAAGATGAATCCAGAATATCTTATCATACAGACAGCAACGAAGCTATCAGATGACTAGTAGGGTTGTATGAAAAAAACCTGAGAACCGACTTAAAGAGACTACCACTGGCCAGAGACAAAAATATTTGAGTATCAAAAAAGATACTGTGAGCTCCCAATCCAGGGCAATGGGGGGCTGAGGGCCTCAGCCATGCCCCCCCGACATCTACAACCAGCCCGGTGACAACTACTGAGCCACAACCAGAACCCCCGGTCTCCCCTGCAGGAATGAGGGAGTGCCACAGGCCTCAACCAAACCCTCCCTCCTCCCTACTCCTCTCACCCTATTTCCTTTCCCCTTCCCCTACCCACCAACTGTTCTGCAACATCTTACAATGTAGAAAAATATATAAATTAATTTTTTTAAAAGATAATAATTGCAATGGAGTGAAACACATCGAATATATTTAAAAGTATGAGTTCATATAGATATTTAAAAATAAAACAAAAACATTGAAGAATCCTAGAGAATCAACTTTCTTAATTTTAAACTATATTTATTTTAAATATTTTTTTAAATTAGTAATAAAGAGGAAAAAAACAAGTATTTATTCTGACAATCATACTCAAACTGCACCACATACTCACTGCTAGTTAAGGGAAAGATTCTCTGTATAGAAACATTCCAGCTAAAAATCGAAGTAAGCTTGAAAGAAACAGAATATCACCATTTTTCAGTCTCTAATGAACATTGATTTCATCATTAAATATCAATGGCTGTTAGCATCATACACAAAAAGAGACAAACAGATATTATGCTCTCGCTGTTGAAGGTATATACTACCACCCAAGAACAACTCTGGCCAAAATAATCAATCCTGACTCTACTAGGTCTAGATCCAAATACCAATGTATAGGCATCACAATAGACAGAAGGAAGTACTAAACAACATCACCAAAATGGTGGAGTAGGAGATACCAGACTTCATCCTCCCACAAAAAAAAGAAGTAGATACAGCTATCCACAAACCAAAACAGCCCTATGACAGCTCAAAGGTTCACCTAAAAATCTACAGTAACACAGAAATGATTATTGCTGATATTGGCATATCTGAGATGCTTACAGATGGCTAGAAACAAAGAAGAAAGGTGAGAGGCTATCAGCATCAGCCATGCAGCAAGAACCACCATGTCCCCAGAAACCTGATCTACAGAAGACACCAGCATCTTTGGCCACTGAGGTAACAACAACCATTCCCAGCAGGAAACCCCAGAAAGGGAGGCATGGCTGCACACTTCTCTGCTCAAGAAGCAGCCACTGTTGTGCCACCCTAGGACCAGAGCTGTCACCTCTCCCAACCTCATGCATTCACCTGACCCCAGAGCCACAGTCACTCTATGAGTACTCTAGACACCGGTTCTGTGGCTATACTATGTCCACCCATTCCTCAAACACTGGAGCCACTGCCATCGTGAGCTAGGTGGCACCATGGGTTCCGAAGCCAAGGACCTGCATACGCCCGCATTCCAGCCACCACCTCAGCTGTCATAGGGCAAATTAAACCCAAAGTAAGCAGAAGAAAGAAAAATCAGAGAAATCAAAGCAATAAAAAACAAAAAATTTATAAAACCGAAAGCTGGTTTTTTAAAAAGATCAATAAAATGGATAAATTTCTAGTCAATAAAAAACAAGGAGTAAAAGAGAAAACACAAATTATTAATATCAGTAATAAATGAGGTGTCATAACTACAGATACTATAGGTATTAAAAGGATGATAAGGAAATACTTGGAACAACCTTATGCCAATGAATTCAACAACTTAGATGAAATGAATGCATTCTTTGAAAAATAAAAACAAAGCTCACTCAAGAAGAAATAGAAAACCAGAGTAGTCCTATATCTCATGAAGAAATTGAATTTTTAGTTTAAGAACTAACCCATAGAGAAAATTCTAGGTCCAGATAGCTTCCCTGGTGAATTCTATGAAACAGTTAAGCAAAAAATATTACCAATTCTACACACTATTCCAAAAAATTGGAGCAAATACCTCCCAACTTATTCTGTAAACCCCACATTAGTGACACATAATTATAGAAAAACTAAATTACAGATCAACATTTTTCATGAACATAAATGTAAAATTCTAAAGTTTAGCAAATTAAATCCAACAATATAGTGAAAAGATAAAACATCATGACCAAGTGTGATTTATCTCAAGAATGCATGGTTAACATGGCTAACATTAAAAAATTGATCAGTGTAATCTATTATATTCAGAGACTAGATAAGAAAATAATATGACTATCTCAATTGATGTAGAAAAAGCCTTAAAAAATCTAATATCTATTCCTGATAAACTCTCAACAAACGAGAAATATAAGGGAACTTTCTCACCCTGGTAAAGGACATCTACAGAATACCTACATAAGACTAAAACATACTTAATGGTGAAAGACAGAATGTCCACTCTCACCATTTCTATTCAACATCATTCCAGAGGTACTAACCAAGGCAAAAAGCAAAAAATGAACAATCTCAATTGGTAGGGAAGAAGTAAAACTGTTTTCATTTTTAGATGACATAATCATGTATGTAGAAAATCTGATTAAATCTACAAAAAAGTTAGTAGAACCAACAATGTTGCAGGATAGAAGATCAATATATAAAACTCAGTTGTATTTCTATGTAGTAACAAAGAACAATTTGAAACAGTAAAATTAGCAATAGCATCAAAATATATGATAGGGATAAATCAGACAAAATATTTGAAAGACCTGTACATCAAAAATTACAAACCCTCATCAAGGAAAATCAAACAAGCCTTAAATAAATGAAGCTATGAAGCTATAAACTTTACACTTAAGAAACTAGAATAAGTAGAGCAAATTTAACCATTTTCAATATTGTTAAGATGTCAATTCTCTCCAAACTGATCTCTAAATCAATGCAATTTCAATCCCAATCAAAAAGCCAGCAGGCAATTTTTGAGAAAAATTGGCAAACTGACTCTAAGATTCATATAAAAATGCAAAGGACCTAGAATATAAAAGACAACTTTGAAAAAGAATAAAGTTAGAGAAATTACACTACCTAACTTCAAGACATTTATAAATTTACAGTAATCAAGACTCTATGCTATTGGCATACATAGCAATATTGGCAGCGTAGACAAATAGATTAATGGAACACATAAAGAAAACAGAAATACACACATATAAATATTGCTAGATGATTTTCAACAAATTTGCAAAGGCAATTTAGTGGAAAGGACAGACTTCAAAAAATAGTGCTGTAACAATAAGCTACCCATATGCAAAAACGAGGATTTTATCCACATCTCACACCATACATAAACATCAACACAAAACAGGTAACAGACTTAAATGTAAAATGTACAACAAGGGCCGGCCCGGTTGCGCACTGGAGAGTGCGCCGCTTGGGAGCGCGGCGGCGCTCCCGCCGAGGGTTCGGATCCCACGTGGAGACCGGTTCCCGCTCACTGGCTGAGCGTGGTGCGGGCGCAATACCGAGGGTTGCGATCCCGTTGCCGGTCCCCGGTACAGTACGGGGGCAACACTGAGGGTTGCGATCCGTTGCCGGACACGGAAAAAGAGACAAAAAAAAAAACTAAAAAATAAAATAATAAAATAATAAAATGTACAACAAGAAAAAATTTTTTTAAAAGAAGAAAAATTTTGTAGCCTTGGATGAGGCAAAGATTTCTTAGATATAACATTAAAACCAAGATCCATAAAAGAAAAAAACTGATAAATTGGCCTTTATCAAAATAAAGAACTTCTGATTTTCCAAAGACTCTGTTAAGAGAATAAAAATACATGCCACAAACTGAGAGAAAATACTTTCAAACCACACATCTGACAAAGGTATGTACATGAAATCTCCAAATAATGAAATATTATGTAATCATTAAAATATAAATTTATTGACAAGCACAGATAGACATATATTTGAGTAACATAAAAGGCTGTCACCAAATGACATGTTATCTGCCCACTTAGGGACTTCTTTTTATATGAGATAAAGAAATGTCTTAGGGGCCGACACGGTGGTGCATTGGATAGTGCGCCGCTTGGGAGCGCAGCGGCGCTCCCGCCGAGGGTTCGGATCCCATGTGGAGACCGGTCCCCGCTCACTGGCTGAGCGCGGTGCAGGCGCAACACCGAGGGTTGCGATCCCATTGCCGGTCCCGGTACGGGCATGACACCGAGGGTTGCGACCCCGTTACCGGTCAGGAAAAAAGACAAAAAGGAAAAAAAAAGAGAAATGTCTTCATTGCTTCAGTCGTTTTTAGCCAGAAGCACCACAGAGAGCTATTATATATATATGTATATAATATCCAAATCCTTGCCTGAGAGAATGTTATAATTATAAAAAGCTTTAAATATTTATGTATATGTATGTACACATAAATATATATGTATATACATAAACATACATACATACTTTAAATATTTATATACATAAATATTTAAAGCTTTTTATAATTATAACATTCTCTCAGGCAAGAATTTGGATACTAGACACCTTCATTCAAACTTTGTTGATAGGGTTAACTGATATGGCCCTTCAGGAAGTCAATTTCACACTATATTTCAAAACCCTTAAAAATATTCTATATCCTTTGGCACAGCAATTCCAGTATTAGATATTCATCAAAGAAATTATAATAAATTTAGAGAAGTATTATCACAAAGATATTCATCACAGGTATATTTACAATATAAATAAATTAAAAACAATAGGGCCGAGCCTGTGGTGCACTCGGGAGAGTGCGGCACTGGGAGTGCAGCAGCGCTCCCGCGGTGGGTTCGGATCATATATAGGGATGACCGGTGCGCTCACAGCGCTCACTGGCTGGGCGCAGTGCGGCCGGTCTCCAAAAGGACAAAAAAAAAAAACAATATAAATATCTAAAAGTATAATGCTGGTCAAATGATTTTATAGTATAAATTTATGATAAAATATGAGGGTACTTCAAAAAGTTCATGGAAATATAGAATTAAAAGATAATATGAATCTTTCCATGAACTTTTGAAGTACCCACGTACTATACAATCATTGAAACCATATAATAAAAATATCTAATAGGGCCAACCCTGTGGCTCACTCGGGAGAGTGTGGCGCTGGGAGTGCTGAGGCCGCGGGTTCAGATCCTATATAGGGATGGCAGGTGCGCTCACTGGCTGAGAGTGGTGCGGGCAACACCACGCCAAGGGTTGCGATCCCCTTACCGGTTACATAAAAAAAATATATATATATATATATATCTAATAATACAGAAAGATGTATCAAAAAAGTATGAGAAGTAAAATCTTTGGGGGGGATAAATGCTTAGAAAAATATTTTTTAAAAGATTGGGAAAACATAATGAAACATAAGTAGGTATCACGAGATGATAGAATTACTAGCAACTTTCGTTTTCTTTTTTGTTGTCCGTATTTTCTAGATTTCACATTTGTTCTGTAATAAGATATTTAAAGTTATTTTAAATATACCTATATTTGTTCACCAAAAAAGAACTAAAATAAAGAGATGTAGATTAAAAGTTATTTTATTTCTTCTCCATGAAGCTCATTAATTTTGCTTCTTTCAGTTAAAAAAAAAAAGACAGAAGATTTGCAATAGCAACTTTATCTGGCATCAACATATAAAAGTCTTACATATACCAAGAGTGAAATGATACTTACTTTAAACAATTACATGATTCTAGCATGCTCAATATAAACACAAATCCAGGAAATTTTTTTTTTAAATGCTTTATCACATATATTGGATCTTGGAGAAATTTTTTAAAAATTTGTCATTTAGTCTCATTTCTAAAGTGCCTACGAAGCAAATACATGCTGATGAGCATAAGATACCTACGACATCACAACAATTGAGCCCCAAATCAGGAGCAATATGAATAATCGGTTACCTAAACTTTCCCTAGTGCAGACTGTCCAATTGGTACCCTACGGAGACTACTCAAAGGCACACATTTTTATTCAATCTCTAATTAGGTGTCATCCATCGATGATGAAGATCAACCTCACTCAAAAGCCAGGGGCTTACACAGTTTTCCAAGGCACCAATAAATTCAGTGTTCAGCATATCATTTCCAAGTATGTTTCCAGGGTAGTACAGTAGACCCAAGAACTAATACATTTGTGCAAGATGTTACTGATTTTTTTTTCATTCTATAATTTGTTATAAGAAAACTGACTAAGAAAGAAGAAGAAAAGAGAAGGGAAGGGAAGGAGAAAGAGACAGAAAGGTAAAAATTATTTGCCGACAATATATTTGTAATAAAAAGCATTTAATTTGGAAATTTTTCAAAGAGTTACTTATAAATAAAGGTTTTAAAAACACTCTAAATTAATGAAATAAATTGTAAGCACTTTAAGTAGTTAATAACACAAAAGTTGACTTACCATAAATTTCTAAACCTTGTGGGAAAATTTCTTTGTATTCTAAATCCTATCCACTAATGCAAGGGTAAGGATGCATCTCATAACCAACAGTGCTGATTTTTAATGAAGGATTTAAAAGGGATGATTTAATCCCCAGATTTTTTTCTTTAATTCCATCCCATCACCACATTAGAAACCTTGGTTACTACTAAGGATGTTTTATCAGTCAACTCCTCTCTATTTTCTAAGCTACTCAAAGAAAAACTGGCATCTGGAGAAAGTCGCACCTTCACAAATTACCCCAAATGTTCACTGCAATATTCAGGCTTTAAATATGAAGCCCCTCTAAATGACCAGAGCCACAGAATGAACATTCGTCCTCTCCACCGCTGTAGACGGCAGAACCACCAAGAACACCTACCTATGAGAGTACTTTTCAGGGCCGTAAGAATATACTTTTAAAAGGTACAAATCCAAAAGCCAGTGAAGATGAATAATAAATATTTATATACTTAGAAAAGGGATATATCCAAAAACTTCCATGAATATGAATAATAAATATTTACATTCCAAGACAAAAAATTCCACAGTCTAGAAAGAAACAATTGATGTTTTTATTTCTGAATACTGAAGCAAAATAATGATTATGATAATTTTAATCAAACTTAAAAGGTTTACCTTATTACTTTGCTGATATAAGCTATTCGCCTTTGAACAGGCAAACAAGAAGGAAAAATCCTTGAGGCATTTTTATATTCTTATTTAACTATTATCTAATAATTACCCCATCATTACCTGCTGTACAAGGATTCCATTCTAAATTCTTAACATTTCTGACGCTACAGGCATGTTACTTCAAAAGTCCTACCTGGGAAGAGACTGAGCAGACTGACTGGAGGTTTATTGGTATCAATCGTTAGTTTGCAGCTTGCAGTTTTTGAAGGCTGATCTGGTAGGCATATTAATTTCAGAGGAAGTCTAAATTTACATTGGACAACTCGAGGAATGCCTAAAATAAGAGAGAAACGAAGACTCACAGATTTGACAAATAATTTGGCAGAAAAAAAATTGTACTACTAATAGTTCAAGCAGCAACATATCTTAGTTTATGTTTGTTGCCTTTCCATTTCACTTAGCATAACTGAAATAAGTGTAAAGTGTTATCATAATTCATACTTTTTTTACTACTTTAAAAAAGTGCAAGGCAAAAATAAAATCTTAAAAGGGGCATAGGCATGAGGTCTGTCTTTAATAGCAGTACTACATTTTTTAAATCACTATATTTGGACATTATAAAAAACATTATAGTTATTTTCACTCAATTATTCAAACAAGTCTTTAACTAAGAACTTCGAAGTTCTAGCCCTAATCCAAGACTATCAGCTAAAATGAACAAAGAATACGAAGTTTGTATCAGTAAGACTCTATATGATCATATTTAAAATTTCTCTACCCCAAAACATTTTAAATCTTTAGCCTTTTTTACTTAAGATACAAATTATATTTACAATTTTCAATAAATTATGAGTACAATAGAATTTGCTCTATTGAAGTTCTACTAAAGTCCATTTCACACATTAACAATATTTCTTTCATCTGAATTAAATTTTTTTCAAACAATTTAACTCTACATATCACTTTAAGTGCCCTTTTGAACTTCGATAAATTATGAGTACAATAGAATTTGCTCTATTGAAGTTCTACTAAAGTCCATTTCACACATTAACAATATTTCTTTTATCTGAATTAAATTTTTTTCAAACAATTTAACTCTACATATCACTTTAAGTGCCCTTTTGAAAAGCTTATATGGTCATTCGATTAACTGTTTTCAATACTCACATAAGCATATTCAAATAGTTAAATAAATAAATAACAATGAAGCATTTTATATCAGGATTTTTAAAGTTTTTAAAAATTATTCCTTTCAATATTTTTACAGAGAAAAAATTTAAACCAAAGCCAGTTTAGGCTCTCTACTTCTAAATCTAGAAAAGCAAACCCTTAGTTTCTGCTCCTTTTATTCTAGAATCCTGTCTTTGATGGGATGAGATGAAAGATAATATACAGAAGCTGTATCTTAGCATACTGCTGTAGAGAAATGGAAAACTCAAAATGTTCTACTCTCCTTCATGGATCCACACGTGAATTCCTTTATTTCTTTATAGTGGACTCTGGGAGTTGCTTAAAAATAGCAAAAGCAGCAGCATTTGGAATTTGGAGACATGATCCCAAAGCAGGATCCCTGGAATTAGCAATATATTTCGTTCATGCCAATTGGAGTTGTGCGGCTTACTCCACACTCAGGACAGTGACAGACCATCAACCACGACAAGCATATTGATATATGAGGTCAATTAAATACTTTTTCAGAGTATGTGGAGCATATTTGTCATTCTCTTCAACATAATCTATTAGCCATCAAATTTTACCCACCTCATTTTTTGCTCATAACCAACAGATGTTAAGTTCACTTCTCCTGGAATCCTAGATGCAAATTATAACTGGTGTCTCAAGAAAAGTCCCAGGGTATTATTTCCTGATATTCTGTGAGATTTTTAGAGGCATGTGTATTTGTACTTTACAATGATGAAATGTTTTGACTCAAAATATTATGGTAACATGATCTAAGATACTGTTCAACCAACAACTATCAATATCGCCACAAAAAAATTACAAAGTACTACTTTTTCCACCTTCGAGGAGATTTCCACATATTCTATATATCCCCAAATCGTTATATTCACTGAATATGTCTCCTCTACAATAAATAAACTGCAGCCTCAATTAATAGATACAGTCTGGAAAGAACAAGGTAACTGAAACCTGTTCCCATCTCTTTCATTTTTAATGAACGGTACAACAAAAGTTTCAGCTTCTGACAATTCTGTCCATGTACAAAGGTAAGCTATCTTCTATATACCTTCAACCACATTCTAAGTTAACTGCTCAAACAAAAACGTGGCTGTCAAGGTTCTTCTAAAACTATCCTGCTAACACTGTGGCCGCTGCTTCACTTGGACCAGGTACTGACTGAATTCACAGTGAAAAAAATTAAACATGATCAACCACACTGACTTTATGTTACTGAGCCTATATATTTGAAGATTATTACCCTAAATCTCCGAGAACCTAGAGCCAAAGAAATTGGTGGTACAGGTAAGTTTTCAGAAATCGAAAGAAATGGATTGCAAGCACTAATGAACCCAAGAAGGGAAATACATTGAAGCTAAATTCACAGTTCAGTTCGGTCAGTTAATGACAACCACACACACTAGGGCAACGGTCTGCAGTTGCTAAGATTTGTAGAACTCCTCTGGAATTTCTTTTCTCCAGGAATTGTAAACCTGTTTCATAGGACATTACTTTGAAAAATGGTGACACTCATACTTAAAAAGACGATTATGGCTATTTTTTAAATGATGGCAGCTTGAAAAGTTTCACCATTAGGGAAGAAAAAAGAGCATGAAATGCTTTAGAAACGCGTTGAAGGAAACCACACCTTTAAAAGAAACATCAGAAAGCCACTATTTTATAGTACTTCCCATCAAATTAAAACGCAGGCATTTCTAAATACAATCTCTAGTATTTAGACGTGGGGCTTATCAGGCGCACCATTTTACTAGGACTTACAATTTCTTAAGGAATTTGAAGTGTAAATTTGGCCACCACCTATTCTTCAGGCTGCAAGTGTATCTAAGAACCTGAAGCCAAAGATCATAAGGGTACGTGTTGGTGTGTGTGTGTGTGTGTGTGTGTGTGTGTGTACCTGTAATAAAGAAGGGAAGAATTACATGCACTTAAACACTTGTCAAGGTTGCCAGTAGAACAACTTCCAACTTAGTTGAAAGAGCCTAACTGGTCCTAACTTTGCCTACCATCAGCAATCTTTCCTCTATATAGCTGGCAAAACAGTCCATATCTGGCTTATTCAACCGTCTGTGTGTTACACTGACAGAAAAAAATTCTGTCATTTATTTTGCTCAAATATTGGCCTAGTCATTCGTCAGAGTGACTATGTTCTGCACTGTTTTTGTTTTATTTTTTGTTTTTTTAATCAAACACAATCACCTCTCTTTCAAACATTTCCCTTCCTTACCTACTAGAGGAAATGGATACTTGCAACTATTATGGCATAATTAATCACAAGATTATTTAACACTCAAAGAGAATATTCTCATCAAAATCACTCCTGACAGAACTATTTTTCCAGGGAGAGGATTCTAATTACATCTGGCACACCCTAGAGCCCAGTATCACTGTCAAAAGGGAAGCCAAAATGTGCCTTAAAAAAAAAAAAAAGACAGAGAATATATATATATATATATATTATAGTAGAATAACTATGTCTCCATATTGCACATCTATATAGTGCCTTCAGAACTCTTTCCAGGGGCCTGCTAGAGTAATTTCATACTGAAAACAAGGAGCCCCAAAGCAGTAGCAATGTCTGGTAGCCAGAACTTCCTTGATCCCTTCCTGTTATGTCTGGCCGCGTACCGTGCTTCATCTGCAGTCATGTTTTACACTGCCCATGTCATGTAACTTTAATGCAGAAATAATGGAGACTAACCCTTATGGGACAGCGTAAAACCTCATTTGCTTCTCTTTTTCCACATGTAGAAGCAGAGCTGCTTATCTGCAATACAGCCTGAACAGATCAGGACAATAAAATGGATCAGTCTTTGAAATATGAAGCCTTGTGTGTGAGACCTAAGTGGCAACATATTATTTTCTTGCCTGCTAGGTGTGGCTGAATATTTCAACTCTAATCCCTAAAGCTTAATTATAATTTCAAAATACCTATGTATCAGAAGAGATTATTAACACCAGCTTTAGCTTTGTATTAAAACACTAAAATTTCCCTAAATTGTGATTTTTTTTCCCCCCTCATGGTTTAGGCTAAATTTAGAGTAAGAGGGAATAAATTTTTCAACAATAACCTTTACTGATTTTTTTTTAAAACTGAAAACTAATCAGTTAGATAATAACATGGTATTTTACAGAACTTAGTCCAAAATCTTATTGGTTACATGCAATCTTGTGAATTAAAATGTAAATATCCACTATTAATAACAGACTACTTTTTAATGACCCAGATTTTAATTAACAAGTATACTTAATGTATAAATCTAAACAATAACCTTTACTGATTTTTTTTTTAAACTGAAAACTAATCAGTTAGATAATAACATGGTATTTTACAGAACTTAGTCCAAAATCTTATTGGTTACATGCAATCTTGTGAATTAAAATGTAAATATCCACTATTAATAACAGACTACTTTTTAATGACCCAGATTTTAATTAACAAGTATACTTAATGTATAAATCTAAACATTTACTTTCATTAAAACATTTTTCATATAAATACATATTCATGTGGCAGATATCAAGATGATATGTGCTATGCAACTCAGGTTGTTGACATCACCAAAACTAAATATTGCCATTATTTTTTAAGTACTTTAATATTTATTTAATTATCACTAATTAATGAACATTGTTATCTAAAATTTATCTTAAATGACAAATAAAGATAAACCATAATATTAAGTCATATATCTAGGAGGAAAAACAACCAAAGAGATGCTAGTATTTTTAGTGTCTGCTCTGTATACTCTGTTATGAATACTTGAACCCTGACCTCAAAGAGCTCAAAATCTACTAGGAGAACCTGAGGACCAAACTTAATGAAACACATATTATGATATGTATTATAGCAGAGTCGTAAACAAAGGATGTGGGGAAAACAAAATGAGTAACAATTAACACTGACCCAAGCAAGTTCATGGGCTGAGGTCAGACCTTTGATGACATTCCCCACAAATTCTAAGCAAGACAAATAAGCAATAGGCCCACAGAGTAAGTACACAGAGCATTCTTATCAGAGAGAGAAGTGTATCTATTAGGGCATGTAGAAAATCTATACTGGGGAAAAGACAGCCTCTTCAACAAGTGGTGCTGGGAAAACTGGATATGCACCTCTCACCATACACTAAAATCAACTCAAAATGAATTCAAGACTGAAGTATAAGACCTGAAACTGTAACAGTACTAAGGGAAAATATAGGTGAAACACTTCAGCAACTAGGTCTGGGCACAGACTTTACGAACATGAGCCTGAAAGCACAAGAAGCAAAAGAAAAAATAAACAAATAGGACTGATCAAACTAAAAAGCTTCTGCACAGCAAAGGAAACAATCAACAGAGTGAAACGAAAACCCACACAGTGGGAGAAAATTTTTGCTAACTATGCATCCAACAAGGGATTAATAGGCATAATATACAAGGAACTCAAGCAATTATATGGTAAAAAAAAAAAAAAACCCAATTAAAAAATGGGCAAAGGAGCAGAATATACATTTTTCAAAGGAAGACATACAAATGGCCAACAGGTACACGAAAAAATGCTCAACATCACTAGTCATCAGGGAAATGCAAACTAAAACTACATTGAGATACCACCTCACCCCTGTTAGACTGGCTATAACCAAAAAGATGGTGAATAACAAATGCTGGTGAGGGTGTGGAGAGAAGGGAACGCTCCTGCACTGTTGGTGGGACTGTACAACCACTATGGAAAACAGTATGGAGTTTTCTTAAACAACTACAGATAGATCTTCCATATGATCCAGCAATCCCACTTCTGGGTATATACCCAGAGGAATGGAAGTCATCATGTCAAAGGGATACCTGCACTCCCATGTTCACTGCAGCTCTGTTTACAATAGCCAAGGTATGGAACCAACCTATATGTCTATCAATGGATGATTAGATAAAGAAACTGTGGTATATATAAACCATGCAATACTACTGTGCCATAAAAAAGAATGAAATTCTCCCATTTCCAACGACATGGATGAGCCTGGAAAACCTTATGCTGCGTGAAATAAGCAAAGCACAGAGGGATAAATACCGCATGTGCTCACTCATGAGTGGGAGCTAAGAGAGAAAGGAGAAAGGAAAGAAAGACCACACTAGTGGGTTGGACTTGCAGAGGGAGAGAACATTCCTTGGGCTACAAAGTGGAGTGGGGGAGGGGAGGGAGAGGAGGATGGAGGCTGGGGATAACTGGGTGGGAGACACAGGGTACAAATGCTATTTGTGGTAATGGGCATGCTGCTAGTATGAATCTGGCCCTCACATCATGGGCATGAGGAGTGACAATCAGCTTTGTATCTCATGAATATTCATAACAAATAAAAAAATTACTACACTTAAAAAAGAAGAACAGAAAAGAAAAACAGACAATTTAGAATTCAGTGACAAATACCTTGTTTTTCTTAATCTTTATATTAAGTAAAATAAAATATCAGAACATGCAGGTAAATAACCAATGACTTTCAGAAATAAGTTGTCACTGACACCTTTGACGTTTTCCAAAAAAGTCAATTCTCTTCTTATTCCTAACTTCATTCTTTCTCATGAGTCTGATACAGCCAATAATGACAACTCTCTACGGAAGCATCTACTATGCTCTTCACAGCAAGATCAAGGCATTGTCTCAACCTTAAGACGTTCCTATAGTTAAAACAGCAGTCCATAAAAAGTTCACTCACAGTATAATACCACGTCAATTCATCAACCAAGTTTCAGTTCTGAAAATCATTTTTTTCTAAATCATCTTTTCACTTACCATCAGGATTTCGATCTATCCATCAGAGGCAATGCAAAAAGGGGTAGGAAAGAAAGAATGCAATAAATTAGCTGTGGTAAAGTCACAACATATCTGCTTAAAATATAAATTAAAATTTCCAAGAATCTCACTTCTGTTTTTTGGGGTTTTTTGGGTTTTTTTTCTAAAAGATGACCGGTAAGGGGATCTTAACCTTTGACTTGGTGTTGTCAGCACCACGTTCTCCGAAGTGAGCCACGGGCCAGCCCCCTCACTGATGGTTTAAATGACCCTCCAATCAAACACAAGTAAAATCAATTCAGAACTGACTTTAACATGAACAAATGAAATGTAACATGAATAACATGACTAAATAAAATCCAACAATACATTTGCACTTCCACTCTCAGAAGTCCACAAGAATGTGTTACTCCAGAGTAAATGTGGCAAAAAGAGGTAAAGTTATACAATCTAACCAAACAGCAATAGACTCAACATGTAAATGACATTGAGAGCATTAAATGAAAAAAAAAAAAAAAACTGAGAAAAAAATTTGTTTTGGCTTGTCTTGGTATTCTTTTATTTTTGCACACTTTTTTTTTTACATTATTCCTAATTCACCTTCAACCAATAAATACCTATGCTCTCTAGTTTAGCAATAATTTATAATCTTTTAAATTCTGTCTCTAAAAAAGCATAATAGCCAAAAATGATATGTGCAACCATAAGCTTGAAGACTGATTTTACAACTTTATAGAGTATTTTTAAGTATTCTGTCCACTTTCTATTACCCATTTCTCTTTATTTTCAACCAATGTCACTAGTTTTCCTTGAAAATAAATGAAACAATCACTTAAATTAAGGCATCAGCAGTCTCTCTAACCTCTTATTCAATAGCAGAAAAAGTAAGGTATAATAATGCCTATAATTATTGAGATGTTCAGTTGATGCTAAATGATCTCAGCCAAATATTTCTCACGTCATTATTTCACAATTCAAATTAACACAGAAAATGTCAGTGTTGTTTTCAGAACTATCCAACCAAAATGTCCATCCTTTATGAAAATCCTTTATGAAAATTTTGATTTCTTTATAAAGCCAGCTTTTTCAAAGCCATTTAAGCATAAAACTATTTATATAGCCCCAAATTCTGAAAAGATGATAAACAGCTAGAACAGTCACTTCTGGATGAAAATACTTTTTAAAACAACTTAAGGGCCGGCCCGGTGGCGCACTGCTACAGTGCGCCGCTTGGGAAGCGCGGCGGCGCTCTTGTAAACAGCTAGAACAGTCACTTCTGGATGAAAATACTTTTTAAAACAACTTAAGGGCCGGCCCGGTGGCACACTGCTACAGTGCGCCGCTTGGGAAGCGCGGCGGCGCTCCCGCCCGAGGGTTCGGATCCCACATACAGACCGGTTCCCGCTCACTGGCTGAGCGAGGCACGGGAGCAACGCCGAGGGGTGCGATCTGTTGCCGGACACGGAAAAAGACAAAAGACAAAAAAAAAAAAAAAACTTAAAGCAAAGTAACATAAGGCAAAAGAAATAAATTTTTAAAACATGTAGTTAAGCTGTAAAATCATATCAGAGCATATAGAGTGGTCAGTGAACAAGCCAGAAAATTAACTTAGGGGGAAAAAAAAAAACTACAATTATAAAAACATTGCCAAATAAGCAAAATGGGCATTATGGAAGGAAAAAAGAAGTTAAGTAAGGCAGTTTTAAAACTTTTACAAACAAGAAAACTCTACAGAAATGTTTTTAAACATTTAAACCTATTACCTGAAAATACCTTATTATCAGCTTAAACTTCATTCAAAAGTTAAAAAAAATAAGCAATAACTACTAATTCTTATATCTACCAAATCGACTGATTGGCAAACTGTTAACATGAAAAATTCACTATGCAGAAAAGGAAAAAAACTATGAAATTGGACTGAACTAACTTGAAATTAATGATAATTGAATCTCACCTGAAACAAAGAGGGCCTTTTAAAATCTAAAAAAAGATTTTTGCAAAAAATTCACACTAAATTTTTAAAAATTTGTTCTTAAATATTTTAACATGTAAGATACTAAGGAGTTGTATTTAGTCACTAAAACAGTGTCTAAAACTCTAAATACTGCATAAATGTTAGAGTAATCCATAATATTCTTTTTCAGTCTTTTATTCCATCCAGACTTTTATTTAGTTCAAATAAATGAAGTCTGGGTAGGTAACATTCTTCTAACAGGAGTAAAAATATAGCAGATTTGTTATAAACTGAAGAGGGAACCAAACATTATATACGAAAATCAGCTAAACAGACTTACTACCATTTCACATAACTTACTACTCATAACACATAAAAGCAATTAGAACATGCAATTTTATTTAACAGTAGAAAACATTTTTTCATTTAATTATATTTTACAGTATGTTTTCTCATCTTAAACACACAGCATTTAACTTATAACTCCAGTAGGTTAATTCTAATAGTTTAAAGGAATGATTAAGCTTGTAAATTTGTGAACAACAGTATGTTTACCTGTTGGTCTGGAATAAGAAACAACAGCATTTCCTTCCAGTTCAGATGGTGTATAACTTCTTTTCAGATAAACAGAAAAGCCTACTGTTCTAGTCATTTCAGGTGCTATAAGCAATGTAAAGGTAATACAAATTACTTGAGGCAATTGTTGTAAACAACAGTTAAAATTTATTAGGCACTCACTACATGCCAGGTACTGTCATAAGCACTTTACATGGAATAACTCATTTAATCCTTACAACAAACCTACAAAGCAGTAGCAGTATTGTCCCCATTTTTTTGTGCCAGAAGAAACTGGAATACAGACAGATTAAGAAGCTTGCCCAAGGGCACACAGCTAATATCAGAGCTAGGAACTGACTCCAGACCAGGTACCTAAACATTCTACGCTCGCTGCTCCTCTCTACTCGGACAGGCAGCAAGAACAGGAAAAAGTACACAAAAGGGCAAGAGAACTTGGGGGAAAATAGTATTTTATCATGGCTAGAAAACAGACCACAGGAGAAAATGGAAGAGGGGAACTGGATGTAACTATAGTGATTTAGCAGATTGTGAATGCCCCTCAGTGTTAATTTATGGCCTTCAACCTGTGTTAGAGAGTCACAAGAGATTTTCTAATTGGAAAGATAAATTGTCCAGAATGTGTTTTAGAAAGACAAACTACAAGTAGTATAAAAAGTCAGAAGTGAGAATCCAGTGGTTAGATATCACCTACAAGATTCCTTCACTTAATCACTCATTCACTCATTTGATGAACTGAGTTCCCACTGTCTGACAGGCAGTCAGCTAAGGGTTGGTTTTACAGAGGTATAAAAGAGAGATATGTTCTTGACTTCAGGGATAAGAGAGAAGAGCCTTAGCTGAAAAGCTCTAGTAACAGCTGTAGAAAACAGAAGAATTGAAAGATCATTTAAAGATCATTTTAACAGACTAATGACAAATTGGATACAAGTGGTTGGGGGTGAGAGAATCTATACAAAGCAATCTTACTAAGAGTTGCTATTTATGACACGTCTACTAAAATAGGCATTATTTTGGATATCTTATATAAATTCACTTTCTAATTAAATCCTCAAAACAACTCTGTAAGATAGATATTATCCCCTTTTTGCAGATTAAAATAACCGAGGGCTTCAACTGATTACTAAAGTAGTTTGCCCAAGGTTACACATAGAGTGTCAGAGCTAGAATTCAAACCCAGGTCAAACTCCAAAGCCAATATTCTTTCCTCAAACATTACTGACTCAATAAATAGGTCACTAGAGAACTGCCAATAAAGAAAGCTTTCCAAATTGTAGTGTTTAAATACAATTACAGGTCCAACAAGTTAAAGAAAACACTTAGAAATCTGTAATCCGAAAAAATTAATCCAACTCAACAATCACTGACTGAATGTCCATGCTTGATGCTTGGAGGGAAAATATAAGCTAAAAAACACATCACTAATTTCAGGAAGATCCCAGCCTCACTATTCAGAAAAAAAAACATAGCCATGAAATAAACACACTAATATTATGAAAAAAAAAAACAAAAACACTCACACCATGGTAGACTTCAAGCCAAAACAAAAAACTTACCCATAAATTCAAACGTAAACTGATCACAAGTCAGTACTAATGGTGGTTGCACGTAGACTAATAATTTGGCTTTTTGCAAAACCACCCGATTCTGTAGTGTGACCTAAGGAAATAGAAAAGGTTAGACTATTATTCATCATGGTAAGTGAAAGAAGCCAGTCATCAAAAACCTCATACTGCATGATTCTATTTACATAGAATGTATAGAATAGGCAAATCTATAGAGAAATAAAATAAATTAGCAACTGCTCAGGGATGGGGAGTGGGGAATGACAGCTAATGGATATGGGATTTCTTTTAGTGGGGACAAAATAGTCTAAAATTAGATTGTAGTGATGGTTGCACAATTCTGTGAACATACTAAAAATCATTGAATTGCACACTTTAAATGAGTGAATTGTATGGTATGTGAATTACATCTCAATAAAACTGTTTAAAAATGTTCTATCAAGAAAAAAAAAAAAGAAAAATCTGCCTTCATGGCTATTGAATGACTACGTCATGAAATGTTACATGCGTTCATTCTTCTTTTTATATATAGTAATAGTATCACGAATTATTTATCTTATCCACTATCAGTATATTTCCTTTTATTCAAGTTAATTATTCTCTAAAGATTTCCTTACTAGGTGGATATATATTAGCCTAGATACATACAAAAGCACTGCATTTTATTCCATGACTACACAAAAATATATGACATAACTAATTCTAGAAAATATCGAAGAATAGCAGTACTGACTGCTGCATTTCCAAGGTGGCTGCATTTCTAAACTGTTGATGCCTGGTGATGCTAACGAAACCCTCCTACCCACATAAGAATCAATAGCTGAGCCCTCTGGGGTACCCGTCTGCTTGGGAAATAGGGCGGGTGTGGGTAGAGAAGGCCAGCGCTTCTCTTACCACAATTTAACTGCTGTCTGCCAGAACTCAGAGCCCATGCCCATGACCAACTGCAGTTAAATCACAAAATAACTTTACAAATGAAAAAGAATCCTTATCTTGCAGTGTAAAGTACAGAGGTTCAGAGAGGACCAATAACAGGCCAAGACGATACAGCCAGTAAATCCTAGACAGGTGAACACTGTGACCAGGAACATCTCACGAGAGCTCAGTCTTAACAGGGAAAATGAAAATTCCTTAAAGTAGTAATGAACCATCTGTAAAAGAGCAGACATTCTGACTCCTCCCAGCATAACCATGGCGTGGACCACAATCACACGATTTCACATTGCTACAGCAGGGTTTGCATTTGGTTTAGATGCACAATCATGATAGCGCTCATAAACAGATTTATTGAACCCCAACAACGGGCTAGGCACTTTGAAAATGCAAATCAAGGAGATGTGAGACAAAAATAACTACAGTAACAAAGAATAACTGTGTTTGAGCCAAAAAAAAGAGTTAAAGGCTTGGCTAGATCATAAACCTCATATTTTAAGAGGAAAATAATTACAGTATATTAAGGAGAAAATATAAAATGTTAATACAAGAATTTTCCATGCCATTTTCCACTTCTAGCAAATGAAATATGATCTTCAGGAAATATAGTACCAAATTTTTTATCTTAGATATACAAATATGACTCCAAAGGCCAGGTATGAGTTGTCTGGGTTAGATGGTCACGCATCATGCACACATACTCAAGGTAGCTACATCTTCATTCACTTGGAACGAATGGAAAGATTTTCTCAATTAACAGGATTTATTATGATGGAAACTTGCATGGTTATGTATCTTGGCTGCTGTTGTTATAAAAGGCCATAAGGAGAGATTTATAGCAGAAATTTGTATAAAAACTGTCAGACAGGATCAGGAAGTCATTGTGTCTACGGTATGACTCCTGCCAATTTTGTGCAACTCTTTCTCACGTTGCATTCTTTCTTGTGCTTCTACAATGGCAATGAGAAAGAGAGCTGTGATTTAGAGGTTCTCAATTATATTAAATTACACTAATGAAGGAGAATTTTCCAGTAATGTTTTGCCATCATTTTAAGGTGGTTATTACACATGAAAGCCTAAGATCTGCATGGGAGGGAAAGGTGTGTTTACTTACAGCAATAATTCTTGGTTGGCTGGGGGAAAAATTAGTATGAGCAATGTTATCTGGTTAAGGTACAAGATGTTTTTCTTTTTTTTTTTTTTTCTTTGCAATTTACAATGTGCTTCTGAATTATTATGTGATGTGTCTCAATATTATCAGACAGATATAAATATATATGAAAGAGGTTTCCTTGTGCAAAAGAATAGATCAGACCTGGAACTTCGCAGTTATTTTTTTTTCTTCAGTGCTTGATTTCTTGCCACTAATACCTTTTCAGACTCAGAAGTATTGAGATAGAACCTTTGACTGGATGGGGGAAGGGAGACTGGGAAAAGACCACCCTTGTTTCCAGTGGCAAGAATCCAAAAAAAATTAGTTTGGGAAACTGTTATGAGCTTGGGCTCCCTTCAACTTCAACCGAAGATCTCCACACTTGGGCAACCCGCTGGGTCCAGTGTAAGCGAACACAATTGGTAAAGCCTGGTACCCTGTCAAGCTCCTCCAAGGACAGCAAGCCATAATCTAAGAAAATATGAAGTCCTGTCCAAGTTTTGACTAAGTGAATCGCCAAAATCCACAACTTTCCCTGGCTTGCAAGGTTTGGGCAGTGATAAATATTTTCAGCTTAATAATGTGCTGACTGATTACCACACTTCAATCTAAATGCCTTGAGTGGGTTCTACATTTGAATGCTACTTCTAAAATTCTATGATAGGACTAAAAATCTTAACCAAAACCACATCCTTCATATTCTATTTTGCCCGGACTATCAATTTGTCACTGCTCTACTTTGTGGCTTCATTTAATATTTTCTTGCTATAAATATATCCACTTAAAGCTAATGTTATGATAGACAGACAGCTGGGATTTCTTTTAAAACACACGCAAAATCATCCATAGAAGAAAGGTATTATTAGCACTCATGTGCACCCCCAGTATCATTTCAGTGTACTATGTACGATGCGAATCAACTGGTTCGTCTGTCTTGAATGGTGATGACACAATTCCTTTAGCAGACTTAAAATGTTCATTTCATTTCTAGAAAACAGAGCCTGGATCATGCTACACATTTAAATAATGGTAGGAATAAGTGATAATAATTGTTTATACTATACACATAGTGCTATAAATGCAATTATCACTTTTAAATTTGCAGGTAGCAATGAAGGTTTTCTATTCACTACTCAGTAAGGTTGAGGAAAACCTTCAAAGGTCAAGTGTTTATTTTACACTTTCATAAGGTACTCGTAGGGTCACAACAGTGACAGATGTGATGAAATATGTACTACTATTAGCACATTACATTTTAAAATCCAGTACAATACCTTCACTGTGATGGAAGGGACATGGACAGTTCCCACTTCAACATCGGTGGCTTGCTGAAAACACAGAATTGAGATGAGAAGTAGGAAAGAATGATTCCGATATTACACAGCAATGAGTGTACACAATGGGTACAATACATACTTCCCACCACCAAAACAGGGAACTAAGTATAAATGATTCATCACTCTAATGACAGACTAAAAGAGTCAATGTGGCTTCTTGGATGCCTTCATCCGGAAAATCATGAGCTAATATTCAAAACCCACCCCCCAAAAAGAAGAGGGCACATATTTCGAAATTTACTTCAATGTTCAAAGTATTAATTCTATTAACTTGTTCTTTATTCTATATAGAAGGCCGCCTTGTATTTCTCAGATAAACATTATGCCATTCCTTTAGATCACTGTATTTTTCAATTTGCCTAAGGTATGTCTTACTCCAATTAACAACATGTTATCTAATGCATGTAACTAATGATATAGACACTGAGTGGCCTTACACCTAGAAAATAATGGTGGTAGTATATTTTTTTACTAATACACATCATAAACTAATTCAACAGGCACTCTTTGAGCATCAGCTTGGGTTACCTGATTCTATCTCTTAAAGAATTTGCTGTATAATATAATAAAGCAAACATTTCCTTATAACTTATTTTTGACAGTAGTACACTGAGAGGAAAAAATGTGTACTCTATGGTAGAATAAGACAAAGGGGTAACATACTTTCTAATAATACCCACATGAATTCCTAGGGAATAATTAAAATCACAATGTTTCTACCCAACCAATGAATATGATCCATTGTGCTTTTTTGTTTAAATTTTTTTAACCAATAAAAACTATACCACTTCTAAGCAATGGGGATCACTACGATGTAATGCGTATTAGCAGAATTAGGAGTTGAGAGATTCATATTCTATTTGTGGCTCCTTAGGAAACCACATGTGGACTCTGATCCAGCTTGTCAATCAGAAAGATGGGATAGCAATGCCTGTCTTCTCTATAAAACACTTCATTCTAATATAAGTTATACTACTTTTTTGAGAAGTGTGCTTCCGTAATAATTCAAAATAAAATACCAATCCAGTCTTTTTGTTCTAGTATTAACTACAATCCAGGAAATGTTTTACATTTAGCTGTCTACGGATCTAGAAGAGAAACCAACATCTCCTGTTTCCTGCTCTTTTCAATCCATGTCTAAACGCCTAGATACTTCAAAGACAGCAGTCCTCTGGGAACATAAAATTACAGCCACAGAGAAATGGCAATGAGAAGACATCATGGCACCACAACCACGTATACTGTTGGGCTAATGTTTTCCAATGGGATGAATATGATACTCTCAAGAAATCTCTTAAGGAGGAAAAAAATAGTAACACAGGGAAAATAAAGCTGAAAAGAGATACCTAGTGAAGAGGAAACAGCACCAAGGGGTACCAGTGGGGAAACATACATCACAGTACAGTACTCCTAACTCCTACTACACAGGCCTCTTCCTACAAAGACCGAAACTTCCTGAAGAACAGAAAAGGAATTCCTCATTCCAAATTGCCTATGTTTAAGGGGACGGAGAAAAAATTATACAAGTTGCCCAAAGGGGGAAAAAAAAAGAACCATTTCTACAGTAAGAAAATGTTTGTACATTTGTCAGCTAACTAAGCAGAAATGTTCCACTCAGTCTACACCCTTCAGAAATGGTGAGTGAGAAATGGAGTGTGCTGAATGACCAGTGTTTAAAACAGTGCCTCTGCCATGTGACTCAGCCAGGGGAATGTTTCTTTCATAGGCAGTCCTACCTTTTTTAAGTGTACCCAATTTACTATACCATAGCAATGTTAATATGATTTTTATGACAATTTGGATTGGCTGCCTATACCAAAATTAATCTTTGAAAATTCATAACAAGTGCTTATTATATTATGCTCTGATACCTAAATATCAAAGACATTTCCCGGGCAGAATTATACATGAGCTCCAAATACAATAAAATAAGCAAATTCAATCACTTCCCTAAATTGATCAACTTTTGGTAGAGACACAGATAAACCTAATAGATTTTGCCAAATTGCAAGCAGGGAGACATAATCAATCATACTCTAACAAGTACTTACAGAAGACAAAACAAGGAGAGGGAGTAATATATCTGATGGATTTTGGATGTGACCGGCGCCACTGTGCACACAATAAGCACAAAACAGCTGCTGGCCTCGTCTCCACTCCAGCACCAAACCCCTTCCCCACTCTCTTTAGCAGAAGCCTCCTGACTTAAACAGAAACAACTCCCAGGCTTCCGCATCAGCGCAGTTCTCCACCCAGTTACATCAACCTAATAGTCCCTCCTCCCCGCACACTTCACGCCCAACAGCTAATATCAACTCTTGCAATCCCACTGTTGCTGCTGTCTTCCACTCTGAAGGCAGCCCGGGCTGCCTGCCACTTTGAGCACAGCCCAGCAGATTTTCTTCTTTTAATAAAGCTTGATCGGTACCCGGAGTTTCGGCTCACTTTCTTTCAATAACCACGAACACTTCCTTGGTTTTATTCATTCATTCACTCATACAGCAAATATATATTGAACACCCAATATGTGGCAAGAACTAAAGATACAGCAGTGACCAATACAAGAAGTGGGACATAGGTAGTAATGATAATGGTGATGATGATGATGATGATGATGATGTTGAAAGAAGTAAAATGTAATTTGACAATGGCGATGACGACTAATTATCATAACACTTCGACAAAGTATTCTATTATTATTCCCATTTTGAAGATGAGAAACATAAGACTAATAAAATTAAGTATACTGCCTTGGGTCACAAAGAAGTGGGGGGAGGGGGGGAATATAATTCCCGGATCAACTGCCTGCTCTTAAAACCATCCTACCACCACAACCACCATAACGTATTAAAGTCTGTAAATCAAAGATGAGAAACATAAGACTAATAAAATTAAGTATACTGCCTTGGGTCACAAAGAAGTGGGGGGAGGGGGGGAATATAATTCCCGGATCAAGTGCCTGCTCTTAAAACCATCCTACCACCACAACCACCATAACGTATTAAAGTCTGTAAATCATCAAACCCTGAACTAGGCCATTCACAAACATTATCTCATTGAACCTTTAACAAAAATCTAATAGAGTCAGTATTATTCACCTGGATTAGGGTGATCTCAATACTACGGTACTGAAAAAGTTTTTAAAAAAGAAAAGGTAGATTTAGAACAAGGGCAGGAACCCTTTCCACTGCTTCTCCCAACCCCTACATCTTTCTTAAACAGAATCCTGCCCAAGAAGCTCCTTACTGGCACTGAGAAGCTAGAAATGTTTTTATCTAAAAAGTAACAAGGACTAAAATTTGTTATCCTCCCTGATGTTTCAATTTGGAAGCCCAGAATTTAATCCAACACATTTTGATCCTATTCATCAGAGTCTACCACTATCATAAAAGTCTTTAAAATCTGCAAATACACCTACAGACACTGAATCAAAGTTAGGAGAAACTGCGGCAGAAACTTTCAAGTCGTCTTCTCTCTCAGTAATGGGCCAAACACCTGTAATTTAAAAAAAAAAAAAAGAGACTTAATCATAAATTAAAACCTGCTGTATACAGTTTTTCTTTAAAGGTTTATCTATACTATCAAAAACCAACCCCATAAAAATACAAGTTGAAAACATTAATGAATTACAGAATTAAAGCTTGATGCTAATTCTTTCCTTATACAATATGATAAAGAAAAATTGTCTCTTTCTCCAAAGATACTGGCTACATGTCAGCCATTGACTGACCAATCCTTGACTACTAGTGGAAACCCAAATTAAAACAACGCTTTTGATGGTAAGTTGGCTATAACTATCAAAATGTAAAATGTACATATCCTGTGGATTAACAATTCTACTCCCAAGAATTTATCCAATACTCACAGACATGCCCAAGGAGGTTCTCTACTGTTAGTAGTAACTTTAAAAAAAAATGAAAACAACCTAAATATCTATATATCTGTTAATATGGTACCATACTATGCAATGGTACAAAGCTATTAATAAGACTGTTGCCAATCTTTGAACACTGACATGAAAAGAACTCTGAGACATACCTATTAATTTAAAAAAGCAAGATGTAGAACAATATGTCTAAAAACAATTACATAAACATGAATATTTTCTAGAAGAATACACAAAAACTCTTGATAAGGATTACCTTTAAAGAGTGGAACTAGGATCTGGTCTGAAGAGACAGTTGCTTTTCATTGTTTACCCTTTTATTACTATGTGAATCACTTTTACCATACATTCATACATGTTATTTTCACAATATTAACCATGTTATATTGCATACTAAGATATTATGAACAAATGACAGAGATCCTAAATAAACAACATAAATAATATTTATGTGCATACATACACACACACACACACACACACACACACAGAGACACACACCCCAGACCAACATCCATGACCTCCTTTCCTCCTCCCTTCTTGTGGCAAAGCCCTAATTTTGCTGAGATATCACCTTCATCTCAGAGAAAGTCACCTCTCCCGGGCCCCAGGGTGAAATCCAATCATGATAATTCTCTTGCACTGACCATTGTTGTTTTAGGCATGAGCGTGGGATTTACTCCCAGCAGAGGGGAGGTAAGGGGAGTTGGGAGTGAGAAATCCTGGCACATGCTTCTGGGAAAGCCATTCCTCCCTAATAAGAGGGGAGATGCAGAAGGAAAAGCCCTCTTCTTCCCTGGAACTCACGTCTGCACATGCTGCCTGGAACTGCTGAGGTCACTCTGTGGCCCTGAGAGAAAACATCCCCCACACACTGAGGTCGGCTGACTGATGATAACATGAACTTGGACGATGCCACATGAATCAGCTGTCTCACAAAAAGAAGAACTGCCTACAATTGCTGTCAGGCATTCCCACAAACACAGCAAGTTTTCCATAACTCAAAGTACAAAAGCCTGCTCACTGCCCATCCAATAACCATTCTTCACTTCTTTACCTTTTAAAAGAAGCTCAATTTTATTCTGAGCAACAAAGTCCTCAGCTAAAACATTTAATTTCCCAGCCCGCTGTGCAGCTTGGAGTGGCCACTGAGATGTAAGTGGGAGCTGTTCAGGGTGTGGCTTCCAGGAAGGCTCCTTAAGGGGGCTGACTCAGCTGCAGATGTGAGGCAAGGAGTTCCAGAAGCCATACTGGACCAAAAGATGACCATGGGAGAAAGGAATCAGAGTCCCTGATGACTGTGGAACTGCCAAGCTGGACTGCCCATCACTAGGCTTCTTTTACATGAGAAAGAAATAAACTTCTACCTTGTTTAAGTCACTTTATTTGGGTATTCAGTTATATGCAGCCAGACATAAGCCTAAACGAGCCAGGTCACTAAGTGCAAATGTTTCTAGCACTCAGGGGCAGCATCAACTTAGTTATCCGGACATATTTCAAGTGGAGTGCAATTTGAAATATGTCTGCGTGCAAGTATCTGCCGGTGTATTTTAAATGGGGTTCATTCACAGGCCCGAGGCTCACTGCTCTCTCTCTCTCTTCTTGAAGGCACAACTGTGTGGGCACCTACCTCGACACTGTACCCCGTCCTTCATACCTACCCCAAGTAGGGACTATACACATCCAACTGTCTAAATCATAAGGAAATCCCATCTTTGAAAGTTCCTACCAGCAGATGTTGTTGACTACTGGTAACAAAATTGCTAGGCAGGATTTACACTAATGAGTGAGTACGAAAACCTTCAGAATCCATGAGCCATACAGAAATTATTACTATAATTTCATGCTTACAACATACATTCCTCATATAACTTACACACATAAAATCAGCTTCAAGAACACTTTTATTACAGTATATAATATACACCATGTGTACAACAAAATGTACTCTTTATATTGGCTTTAAATTTTGCTGCAACTCTTCTTTTGAAAAAGTAGAAAAAAAGCTTTAAGTACTAAACATAACCCACAAGACTATAAGCTTTTTTTGCAAGTTAAAGCCACTGTACTAAAATAAGTGACATTTAAATGAATAGCAAGGTCATCAAAAAGTTCAGAGTTTTAACTTCTCAATCTTTAGTAATGAAATAATTTGGTGCTTTTGTATAATTACAGGTATTTTAATACAGAAACATACCACGGTTTTATAAGGATACAGAACATTAATTTTTTTTCCTTATCTAGAAATAAAACATTTTACAAGCCTCTCTTTTTAAAATGTTTCTCTTTGTTTCTTTTTCAGGAATAAAATCTAACGATGGTGCCATAGAAAGGCAGGGGACTTCAAACATAAACTAAAATTTTACATAAAATTAATTTATGTAAATTAATAACTTGCATAAAATTATTCTGTAAATAATGAGCTTTGCACCCATGTCTGTGGGTACATCTCTAGCATAGTTAGCAGTTTTCCAATCTACACGGAAGGATCAAGGTAATGACAAGTAAAACAGCCTACACCTTCTCACCCAAGGGCATCACTATCTACAGCCACCAAGAAATAACTTTAAGCTGTAAGAAATTTTCTGAGAAATTGCATCCACAATTCATGTCAAAGTATCATTACCATATTGTTTATGGAAAGGACAAAGTTTGGAGTGAAAAGTCACATTAAACTTATTTTAATGAACTGTGAAGATTTCATGTTTCATGTATGTGCCACTCTTCCAATTACATTTTTTTAACTGAAACTTAATTGATTATACAGATTTGTGGTATACAGAGTTGACTATTAGTATTTGTGTACAGTATATTATGGCATCCACAATTCATGTCAAAGTATCATTACCATATTGTTTATGGAAAGGACAAAGTTTGGAGTGAAAAATCACATTAAACTTATTTTAATGAACTGTGAAGATTTCATGTTTCATGTATGTGCCACTCTTCCAATTACATTTTTTTAACTGAAACTTGATTATACAGATTTGTGGTATACAGAGTTGACTATTAGTATTTGTGTACAGTATATTATGACTAATCAGGATAATTAGTGTATTCATTGTAAAACGTAATTGTTATTTGTGTCCATTAACCAATTACATTTTTAAATGACAAAATGAGACTTATAATTCCATTAACCCCCAAAATACTAGTATCAAAAAATTTTTTCATTGTATATTGTAATATGACATATACAATTTTAACTATTCTCTACTTGACATTGGGTTGCTGACAATAAACAGGTTTTTAAGTAATTGGAGGTACTTAAAAGACCTAAGTTTCACTGGTTTACTTTCAAAACTTTCTAAAAGAACGTGTGAAGCCAAGGCATAATAACTTTATTTTAATATTCACATTTTAAAATATATTATCGCAGTTTCTCAGAACCAGAGGAATACAATCTTGGTAACATAGACCCGAAAAGACATAAACCTAGTAAAGTGACTGGATCAGGATTAAGGTGGCTCTGCTGTTTTGGTTGGCTTTTGATGCTCTGCTTCTTTTATTATTCCTACTTGTTTTAACATTTCTTTTTTGCAAAAATAGTTCATATTTTTTCTCATTAAAAAAACACTTTTACCTGACCCTGAAAAGGGAACTTAAAGTAATGCTATTCACATGGCCAACTCAAACTGCAGGACTGGTGTTTTGTTTCTCCTTTTTAATTTACAATAAAATTATACCCTTATGAGACCCAAAGTACGATAATACAGAGTTTTCCAAAACTCAGGAACTGAAAATATCATCAGCCTCTGAGTCATTAGAACTCAGCACACCACAGGCTGTCCTCCATTGGGATGGCTAATTAACTACAAACATAAATGGTATCGCTAAACTGCAAATGACTACATTTTTAGTAACAAAATGGTAACTCATGTACGGTTTTTTTCTTTTGAAAGAAGGAACTAAAATTTTTTCAGGGTTATTAAAAGTTAATAAATGACCATTCTAAACTTTAATGCTCTTCTCCCACCACCCAAAATACTTCACCCTTTCTTAGAGTTTAAAGAAAAAACTGGATAGTGCCATCTCTGAAACACATTAACAAAAGCATCACCTTAAACAGAACATATCTTTCAGAAGCTGTAACATGAAAGTAAGCACCAAGACCTTGTGTGCTAAGGAGAAACGCTTCTTACAAATATGACTTTGTTAAGCCTGAAGGAGAAAATTAACACATGCAAACCATTATCCATATGCAAGATAATGTGCATTTTACAGTGAACATTAAAATTAAAAAATAAAAAGCTGTAAATGAAATACCTTGTGATTTGTTCACATCTTTGATGATTTTCTGAAGTTCTTTCAATTCTATGTCAAGTTCATCATAGTTTAGTTCTCTGGATTCAACTTTTGGAGCTTGGAACAGAGAAGGGTCTGTCCCCAGGTATGAACACTGCAAGTGACCATCATCACTCAGAGTGACTATCACGCCCTTTAAATCACTACAATAAGGAAAAGAGAATGAGACAAAATTAGAAATTTCAGTGGATTTATTCCTGACCAACTACATTTCTACGCAGCGCAGCTTCAACATACCATTAAGAAAGTGACAACACGGTCCATCTATTTCTGAAGTAAAACTTCAAAGACTTGATTCAGATGTTTCAAACATGACATATCGACAGAAGGACTCCCGATGTTGAGATTAGAGAAGAAAAAAACCCCAACGATTATCACAATGGCTTCACGTTTGGGGACCGAACTACATGGCAAATCCTGCTCTGAGAGCTTCTCCAGTCAAGCATTGTTTTCAGTCCCCACTTCAGCTACCACTTGGCGGATTCATAACAAGCACGTGAGCAAAGGAACAGGAACAAGGGATGGGGGGACAGGGCTGGGCTGCTGGCTGATGAAGCCCAGCAGGGAACAGGGCCATGCAGGGGACAGAAGAGTGCAGAAGGTTGGTGAGGGAAGCCACGCAAGGTCTTGGAGAGAACCTGCCCCTGCTCGTTCCCTCCTTTCCCTCTTTCCACGCTGGGACTCCCACTTGCCCCTTCCCCGGGTCCACCCGCCTCGGCTGGCTTCACACACCCCGTCCCCGCAACCCTCTGCTGGGTCCCTCCCCTCCCTCCACTCCCAGACAGACGCGGCGGCTGTCCCCTGTCCCACTTAGTAACTCTCGCCCACGGCTCTTCCCATCCTGCTGATCTCTCTTCCTCCCCACCGTCTCACTCTTCCCTCCCTTGGCTCCCTCATCTGTTTTACAATAGAGACGAGCCTAACATGTAAACTACGGATCATTCTAGTACGCAGCTTTAAAAAATAAAAGCTTTAGAAAAAAAAAATTAAAAAAAAAATAAAAGCTTTACATTTTTCTGGATTTCCTATTGAAAGTAGCTGAGATGAACACCATACGAAGGTACTTCATGGAAAAACAGAATTGAAAGATAATGCAGGTCTTCCCACGAACTTTTTGAAGTTCTCTGGTCGTTGCTTCCTCCCTAGTTTTCCCAGAAGAAAAAGGATCCAACAATGTCATAAGTCATTTTGAGTTGATACATAGTGGATTTGTTTGTTTTTGTTTGTTATGTTTTCTATAGTGGCCTCTGATTTTTTTTTTTTAAAAAAGGTTTCCAGCCCTGCTCTAAAGATTAGATGTTAATCAAAAATAATAGAAAAATTGTTGAGAGAAAAGAAGATGGAAAAAAATGTTGCTACTCATCTGAAGAAGAGAAAAGGAGATAAGGTATATATAACAGACTTATTCAGAATGAATAAGAATTTTTAAAACTCCCTAACTCTGGATCACGGCAAGTGGCGATCTCATTAACTGAAAACCTCAGCTGGACTAGGAGCAGACACCACCACTGCTCAATCCTCCCCAGGAGGCAGCCACCAGCGACCAGTTCACCGCCCGCCTTACACACAGCATTCCTACGCACCCTCTCCAGGGCTCAGGCACACTCAGTGCCACATGACCCTGCGGCGTGCTCTCAGAGAGACAAATAATAGACTGATATCACCGATTCAACAACTAAAGAGCTGGACTAGGATGAGTGAGGGGACTTGAGTTCTAGCTCTGACTCTGGGGCTGGACAGCTGGGTCAGCTTGGAGAAATCTTCCTAAATGGTCTTTATCTCTAAAAGGAGAAGGTGAGACCAGATAATCCTCAGAAGACTTTCACTTTATGAATCGGTTCTGTCATATGTACCTCTGAAAATAAATACTGCCAAAATGAGGTTATTGTCCTAAACTAAAGTGTGAAAAGCAACCCCGTAGGACCTGTGGGCTTGAACCTTTCTTCGCAGGTAACTGAAGCCACCTGGTGGCCATGGAAACCCTCACTTCCAGCTCCGAGAGAGCAAACCCTCCCCCCAGTGAGCCTTACCTGGAGTCTGCTCCCCATCCCACCCAGCCCCAAGGTCTAGGAACCCAGTGAGTCCTCAGGAAACTCTAGGATACCACAGAGCAGATCCTTGGCTGCCTTCTCAGAGAACGTGGAACCCTCAGTTCTGTCCATTCAGACAGACAGTCCCTTTCATCCCCACTTCTGAATGGTCCGTAACATAGGAAGTGTCACCATGACCCAGCACAAGTATCCCTCCCTATCTAAATTCATTTGGTCTTTGAATTGGATAGTTTACTAGTAAATCAGTTTTGTTCCATTGTTTTAAACAGCAAATAGTAACAATTTGGATACGAGGGATTTATCTAAAATATTACCTGAACCTATTAAGTTTCAAAGTTCAGAGAGAAAGAGTTTATATAATGGGGGATCCATACATATCTCCAGACTCTCAAAAAAACACTCTTTACTAATGCTTGAGGTGTCCAGAAGGAAAGGATCCAGGGTCTTCCCTCACTGAAAGAGCTTGCCAAATGTCACCAAAATGTCTTGACAGTTATAGTAGTTACAGAACTTGAACCAGGCATGCCACCACCACCAAGGGGTCTACCCGGGGTCTTGAGGCATGGAGCCGTGGGCGGCCACCCTGCCCACAACCAGGCAAGGAGCATGCCAAAAACACCACTTCCACACGGGTGGCCCACTACAGAGAACACAATAGCCACAGCCGCCACAAAAGTGGCTAGGAGCCACAGCAGTAGCCACAGCCACAGCCACTGTGCAGGCGGACCACCAGCCAGGTCCTAGGCGGGAGCTGAGGGCAGCATCCGTAAGTCAGAAGCAGGCAAGGATCACTCTGAAAACACCATTTCCCCACAGGTGGCCCACTACAGCCACTGCCACAACCACAGATGTCGTGAAAGTGGCTAGGAGCCACAGCAGTAGCCACAGCCACAGCCACTGTGCAGGTGGACCACCAGCCACTTGACTGCATTGACACAAGGAAAGTCACCAGCAGAGAGTAAAAAAAAGAAGAGGATGTCTCTCCACAATGCCCACTCCAGGGTAATAGAAGAAGCATCTAGGCCGGCCCGGTGGCGCACTGGATAGTGCGCCGCTTGGGAAGCGCGGTGGCGCTCCCGCCCGAGGGTTCGGATCCCACATACAGACCGGTTCCCGCTCACTGGCTGAGCGAGGCATGGGAGCAACACCAAGGGTTGCGATCCCGTTGCCGGTCCCCGGTCCGGTACGGGGGCAACACTGAGGGTTGCAATCCGTTGCCGGACACGGAAAAAGACAAAAAGACAAAAAGACAAAAAGACAAAAAGACAAAAAAAAAAAAAGAAGAAGCATCTGTGTTATGATAATGGGGGGGACCTGAACACCCCTCTCTCAGCACTGGACAGATCATCTAGTCAACAAATCAACAGAATAACTGTTAATCTTTCAGAAGGAGAAAAGAAATCTAGGGTTATTAGAGGTGGGAGGGAAGTAGGGAGAGGGGGATGAGGAGAGATTGGACAAGGGGCATAAAGAGTAAGTCTGATTTGTAATAATGAATATGCTAATAATATTGATTTGATCAACATACACTGTACGCAGGTGAAAGCAGTCAACGTTGTACCTCCAAAACATGTATAATCAACGCTTGAATAAAAATAAATTTTTAAAAAGCAATTATAGAACTTAAGCAATTCACTCTTTTCTTATCAACAGCATCAGAGCCATTGCATATAATTTCGATCAAATTACAGAAATTTACACAGTAGGTTAATTCAATTAAAATTACTTTTTATTCCACAGGAACACTAAGACAAACTCTAAAAACCATAGAATAAATCAGTGGTATTTCTGTCTAAAACACCAATGATGGACAGGAACTTTGACTGAGGCCTATAATAAATACTACATAATAAGTAATATCATCACTAGACATCTTTATGTAAAGGACAAATTTAAAAATATATATATCATTCCTAAAGCCGAGCCCAATTTAAGTATGGGGGGAGGGGACACAATTAATCATGATTTTTAAAAAAATATTTTTACTCAATGAACATTTTATTTAACAATATTGTCTATGTGGGTTAATGGGTAAGGTTCTATGAATAATAGGGTTTTATGCTCGAAATAGCCATCAATTAAATCTAGAATTGTGTACCCTATTACTTCCATCTTAAAAGCAGAGTTAACGCTGACAAAATTAAGGTTTCTGAATTATCATATCCTTGAAACACATCACCTAACCCAAGGCATCATAATAACATACTTTATGAAGAATCAAGATCAAAGATGTTATATTCCTAGAACACGTAATTTTGTGATTTTAGCAATGAGGCATGAAATTAAACAATAGAGTTTTGCTCAGGAATCTGAAAGTAATTTTTTCATCACTCAGTAAACAGATCCCTGCCTTAACAATACATTAAAACAAAATTCCTGATGGACTTTAAAAGTTAAATTTAAAAATATGAAACTACAAAAATATTTACCTTCCTCTGATATTGGAAGAACTTTTGCCGTAAGAAAGCAGTAGAAGACACTACAAAGGAAAGGATCTCTAAATTAAACCACACAAAAATTTTAAACTTGTTATATGCTCAAGAAAACAACTTGGTAAAAAGAACAAAAGACAAACCAGGAAAACATTGGCAACCAATATAAAATACACAACTTGAACTTGAACATATGAAGTTGCTGATATTCAACTGTTTTTGACCTATAAAAACAATCTTATACATTGAACCTAATATGTAAAGAACTATTACAAATCAATGAAAGTAAGATGATATTCCAACTTCAAAGGTCAAAGGACAATTCACACATAAAAATAAGAGTCAATAGATGGAAAAAATTGAAAACAATCTTATACGTTGAACCTAATATGTAAAGAACTATTACAAATCAATGAAAGTAAGATGATATTGCAACTTCAAAGGTCAAAGGACAATTCACACATAAAAATAAGAGTCAATAGATGGAAAAAATTTAGAATAAAAAATGCATATTTTTTAAACTGTTTTTTAAAAGCTATATTTGATTAACACCTCAAACCAGCAAGAAATTGTATTCAATAATGAGTCCTGCTGTTAGAGAAGGTACATGGAGATAGAAACTCTCACGTACTTCTGGTGGGAAAGAAAATTTGTTAAAAT